TTAATGAAAATACAGTCAAGTACACACATATTTGTACGTATACCTATATAAATATGGAGAGGGATAATGTGTTATTCAAGTAAGATCTAAATTTTTATACCCCTCCCATGAACCGATGTTCTTTGCACAGCTCATATTCAGGCCTCTACGCCACCACAAAGTGCCATACAAACCACTTGGCTCGTTATCATTAGGTTTACCTTTACCCTGGACAAAGATAATAACTGATTAACGCCTCAGGGCGATTAAATTCCACACCTCAGCAGCAGGCCCTTTTTATCCCCACCCCCACCCCTCATATCAGAGATGACATTCAAAATTTCAATATTGCTTCATTGATTTAATTATGTAAGTAAACCACGAATTATCACGTGGTACCTTTCCCTTCCCAATCAGACATGACCAAACAGAGACATTTAGCTTTCAGATTCAAAATTACAAATAGACATTTTGCCCAGTGACGTATTACACAAGGATAGTGAATGCTTTTTTTGGTGTTAGCTTTTATGTTCGTTCATTGAGCCGGAAAGACCTTTCCTTTGCCTTCATTTACTACAAAAGGTATGTTGTCTTTGCACTGACCGACCTGACCAGAGGCAATTTGTTGGCCAGTGGAAAAGGAATCTCATTTCCGTATCAAAAATAACAGCAATAAATCAAAATGATGAATCATAAAAATTATATTGGTCAAACGAAAAATTATTGAGATTTTTAGTGCCACGCAAATTACTTTCTTCAATAAAAGATAATATTTCAGTTGTGAATAGCTCCAACACACGTTTTTTTGTTTTGATTTTTTCTTTTTTTTTAATATAAAATTAACAGAAAGTATTTGTCATAAAAAATAGGGCTATTAATTTGAAAACTGAGATTTGTACTATACCGTTTTTTTAAAAGATTAGTTACGAACTTTTGCAGGAAAATGCTATTATATAAAAACAGCAAGATTAACAGAATTTATTTGACACAGTATTTCTATTCAATATATTTCACAATATAATCATCGTACAGAAAATATCAATTTATACGTTATAATTAGCACGTTTCGAGACGATCATAATTATCAGATATTACTTGTGGAATTGATTTTTGATTTAATAATCATTTTATTGCAGAAAGTTCGTACAATAGTAGTGGGCACAGGTTTTACCAACTTATAAAGCCCTCTCCAAAACAAAGGTTATACACCAATACTTAAACTGCAAGCAAAGTAACAATATATATAATTTTTTATTGAAATATAAGGGAAGGACTGAAGAGAAGGAAGGAGGGTAGGTAAGGAAGGAAGAAGGGGGTATATAGTACAAATGAGGAAAGGTGGGGAATGCAGATAACTAGCCAAATCGCTAAGATGCACCAATAAATTTTTGAACAGCTCTAGCTAAAAGCGAGTTTTCAGCTGAACTTAGCCTTACGCCTCCGTTTATAAGAACGTTTATCGAAATATCACCAGGATACCACGACAGTTCGGTAAATAGGGTGTTACGAATTTGTATATATTTGGTACAGTGAAGTAAGTAATGAAATGAGTCTTCGGAGGGATGTCCGCAGGAGCAAGATGCAGAGTTCGTGAGATCGGCTCTGAATAGGTTATAATTGAGTGAGCTTGCTCTATTTCTCAAACGACGAATATTTAGCTTACGAGGGCCATATGATAAATAGCACGATTTAAGCTTGTTGGTGCTTCTTGTAAATAGTTTGGTTTTAAACAAATTCAGTGAATCAACAGTTGTTAGAGATTCATCTAATCCATTCCAGAGATAAGTTGTAAAAGGGAAAAATGAGTTACACATAGATTGAAGACCGTAAGTTGGCTGTCGTAACTGATCTGCGTTTCTTAAGTTATACCTAGTGAGATTGCCAATATGTTCAGGAAGAAAATCAGTGAGGAAAGATGTTGCAGTCCCGTTAATCATAGTATAAAAAATGGACAACTTTCGATGCTGACGTCTTAATTTAAGTTCTTCCCAATCCGTTTCTCTTAATAGTAAGCCAGATCTAGTATACATGTATATGAGTAAACCAGTCACAATTTGGGCTGCATCTAGTTGGATTTTTTTTCGATATTTGATGACGTAATAACTCCACAATTATCCCATACTTCCCAAGCTTATTCTAATAATGGCCTTATGTATGCGAGATGCATTTTTTACAAAGTGTTTCTGTTAAGAATTAATTTTAACCTATACCCTTCTACTAATTTCTTCTACATGTTTATTCCATGATCCGTCACTACTCAGTACGACTCCCAGATATTTGTGTTGATCTGTAAGTTCAATATAGATATTGTTAAAAATAAAGTGGGGTTGGTGTTCAAGAAGTGTGTTTGTTATTATCATTATTTCTGCTTTGTGTGGATTAAAAGACATCAGTCAATCTTTCGACCATTTTTCTAATTATCAGATCACTATTAACTGCTAATTCTATGTCACCTATATTTCGAGAAGAGTAGGAGAGTGACGTGTCGTCAGCAAACAAGCGTGATAAAGATGTCAGTTCTGTTTAGATATCATTCATATACATTAGGAAAAGTAGGGGCCCTAGTACCAACCCTTGTGGAACTCCTGCAGCGGTAGAATTCACACTTGTAGAAGTGGATACAAATCATTTATTTGAACAAGTTTGATGTCATTTCATCCTAGGATGATAATGACATGATTAATATGAAAACTGTCATGACCTCCAGGTCATTAGGAAGATAGTTTTTCATCCTAGCATGTTTCTGGTGCAGTATGGTAAGACTTACGACCTCTTGGTTATTGAGAAGTTGTTCAAGATTTAAACACTTGTGACTGATGTGTGACACGGGTCGATATCATTTGCGTGATAAACTTCGCAGCCTAATGCTTATTGGACAAGTGCCTCTACAATTTAAGCAATAATCAAACTATTGAATGCACTTGCATGCACGAATCATGAAGGTACGGAAGCGTATTCCGGCCAAGGTGTGTTTTATTTTATCTCGAAATTTCGAGATAGCAACTCGGAATTTTGAATTAGTAACTCGAAATTCCTAGTTAGTAATCCGAAATTTTGAGATATTCACCCGAAATTTCGAGATAGCAACGCGAAATTTCGAGAAAGCAACGGGAAATTTTGAGATAGCAACTCGAAATTTCGAGTTAATAATCCGAAATTTTGAGTTAGTAATAACAACTCGAAATTTCGACTTACTAACTCAAAACGTCGAGTTACTATCTCGAAATTTCGAGTTAAAATAAAAATACAACGTGACCGGAAAACGCTTCCGTAGTACGGCAATGCAGTCAGAGAAATAATTACACAAGGACCGACTTCAAATCACGTTCGCTTTAAATTGAGTTCTGCTGAGTGAACTGTCCAGATAAACAGGAACAATAGCAAGTTACTAATGGATTTTGGTGTATTTAGAGTACACACTTAAATAGTAAAGGACACTAGCTGTAAACACGTACAATAATACGTGTTGTTGATGTTACGGTAACAGAATTTAACACTTGTGACCCATGTTACACTGTAAGAGGTTCAAAGTTAGTTCATTCCAGTATACCATTGTTCCAAAAACATAATAAAAGGCCTCTCGATTTATGAAAGAAGTCGGATACATATCCCATGACTCCTGTGACATTGTTAAAAAATGGACAAGGTAATTCATTTGAACAATCTTGGTAGTCCTCCTACTAGCTTCTAACAATCCAAATTTCATGACCAAATACCATTTCAATAAACTTCCTTCATTCCAGCATTCTACATACACCATATCATACCATGTATCCTTTTGTTAATTAGAGGAAGCAAAGTAGATGCCGGATGAACAAACGCCGTGTCATGGTATCAGGTCTTTTACTCGACGCAAAAATATCACCAAGACATGAGGAAGTATCTATCCGGAAATACTCAGACAGACAGACTATCAATTTCAGTGGATATATAAATCTCTAAAAGGAATTCAGTTTTACCAAATATACATGTATGTAGAAACGCCAGTTTACCATATCAAAGCTTTGTCATATATGAATGGCTGTTTATGGAGCCCCTCATCTCTGTTTACAATTGGCCGGCTACGGCGCATTGCGACGTGAAAATATTATTCTTCCCATGCAATTCTTTGGAATTTACAGAGAAAAAAGTTCTTTTATTGCTCTTGTTTTAGGTTGACAGAGACATTTTCTCTAAAGTTTATGGATTAATTCATGTCTGTTCCTGTCACGGACAAACATAAATTCTCTCAATCTGGGTTTTGACATTTATTTCAGACCACTTTGGATTTTTCTCGGTCATTTCCAAGTTTCTTTAATGACGAATCCAAAGGAGGAAACGACTGACTGCGATATAGCTTTGAATGGGCACTGCTGTATCTTCAATTTGTATTGAAGATGATAATTACTTTTGTGTCATTTGTAAAATCTCTGATTAACATACCACGTACCTATGTGCCACCATTCTTAGACTACAAACAAGGCTAACAGAATCCTCATATCCATAGAAAACACCAGAAAGGATTTAGTTTCCAGTTCAATAACTGTATCGATGGATATTCCTGTTATAAATATCAGAATCTGTTCTGATAAGAACGTTTCCAGATAGTAACATACCTACTTTCTCAAACTTTGGTGTTTACATCGGAGTTCGGTATTAATGAGTTAGTTCCAATTATGATTTCCGAAGATTACCACACAGTGACGCGAGAAATTCAAACCAGGATCTTTAAGGAAACATTCCAAGTTCTTGTGCGATATGAAGTGTGATGATTTCGATGTCTATTATTACTAGAAGTATTGCAGGTGTTTCGTTGTTGGTAACCTTTGGTGTCGACATTGAATTGTGATTTTGTTGACTTGCAAAAGGATTTTCTTTTTTTTTTTAATTTTCTTACCAATATTTTACCAGTGGTAAAATTATAAAAACAATATAGATCCAAAGGCATTTTATTCAGTTTTATAATATTTTTCATTATTTAGACAGCTTTTGACATTCAGATTATCTTAATAATTATCGACTGATTTTACGTACTGACTATATCACTGCTTTAACATTTTTTCACGGTATGGTTTAGCTTGCGGTTCATAGTTATCTACGTGGGCAGCATTCTCAAACGTGTTGTCTTCTAGAACCTCGACCAGATTGGCGACTGCCTCTTTTGCTGTCAGTAATTTGTCGTCTTGTCGCAAGCCTGAAAATAAAGTTTGAAATAAAAAGTTTATGAGCAACCGATCATTAGGCCAAACAAGAGGTGGAAAAAATGGTCCAAAAATTAAACGACATCAGGAAATTCTATTACATAAATACCACGTAATTGTGTTTCTGGTCAGTTTACAACAGGTCTAGCTCACTGTGTTACTGCTAGACATATGTACCTTTGTGATTGATCAGTGGTCTGATTAGCGATAAAATCCAGTGCAATAAGTGTTTTTGGAACTTTATAAAACTGGTCTTGATTGATTTCATAGTAATGTGATCTTCTTAGTGAAAAGTGCAATGCAAAGATGTATAGAGGAAGCTTTTGGGACAGAAATAAGGTAGCAGAGTTTGGTCGGTCGGCGGGAGTTCGCTGTTCCTCAGAGCAAAATAAAATACTGACATGTTTAGACAGAATCTTAGTTCAAACACAAATCCGATTAAACTGGAGTAAAACAAAAATAAAGATAGATTTACATGGAGAACTATGAAAAGGAGAATAAGACCAGGTGACAGGTACAACGTTGAAAATTGACCAGCGTTTAAAACGGAACCGTTACACCGGAAGAGTAAGCGTCTTTTGCTTCATCGACGATACCTTTGGTCAATCCAAGTAAATAATGTAATGTTCTTAAATGAGAACAAGGTAAGCAACAGCGGAACCATAAGGCAATACTTCTACTTTTGCAATTTTTAAACACAAATTAAACCATTTGAAAGTTAATCATATGAAATTAATGCGTCGCCATTGCCCCTAAACTATTCTCAATAATCATTCTGTGTATCTGTTACCCAGATTATAAAATCACCTTATCGCATTTTTTTTCAAGCGTGTTTTACAAAAACAAATCATAATAAAGAGTTACAATCAACGTCTGCAAGACCCGATTGATATTTCATTACTTCCAAATACAAACGTGGCTTTTCTAGAAGTTTTAAACTTAAAAGAAGACGTTATACTATCAACAGTGTCATACGGAAACTGACCATTAACTAGTTTCTGTAATGGTACGGAGGATGCGTTGGTTTCCAGATTTCGTAACATCTCGGTATCAACAGCACCGGGAGCGTACGTTAGAATCCGGATAGAAGGCTCCTCTTTGTCAAGGACTTTGAAAAACATATCACGTGCGGCCTTGCCTAAAAATACAGAAGTGCACAAAAATGCAGAATTAGTTGACAGACGAATTAAATGCTGTGCAAAAGAAACGTTATCATTTGTTTAAAAAATGTTTCCACGTGTGCCTTTTGCACAATCCTTGAGCTTGTAGATTGCTGGTATACATAGTTCTTGAGATTTCCCTTAACCCACATTCCACGATCTATTTCGAACAATTTTGAGTTCACTACATCGCTTTCTAGGATTCAGCAACACTGACGAGCCCGAGAGGGACGAAGCCATTGCGCGTGTATGCATATATATGATGTTGTAAGTTTTGTTTCATGATGTTAGTGTTTAGGCCGACAAACTGAATGTTTTTGTTATGTTTGTGTTTATAAATCTTGGAATAGATAAAAAACGACACTTTATTTTAATGGAAACAAAAAATGTAAATAAAAAAGATTAACGTTGTATTTTGTTTAGGACATCGGAGGATAACTACCAACGATTTCCATTAAATCAATTAATAATGTAGATAACACAAATCTATATGAAGACAATTGATGAAGATAAAGTGACAAAACAATAATTGATGCCCATTAGATTTTTACCATTAATTGACGTTGTGGGCTGAGTTCATATACTGATATGGTTGTAAATTTAAGAGTTGTGTTCCAAATATAAAATAAAAAAAGATAAAAGTAGTTATTCTTCCTGTGATTGGACCTTTACAGATCCATCCAGATAAGGGAAACCATCTAATTAGAACTGTCACCATACTGCTTCTCTTAATGTCTCAAAACGAGGTGGACTTTACTTCTGAACACAAAATACACCAACCTAATCGACATCGACGCCTTAACATGTAGATCAAGAAAAATAACGTTTTCAGAGTCAATGTAATGTACAGAATAGTAAACACATATCAGTGGTAAAAAAACCCAACATGTCCATAGAACCTAAATTAAAACTAACAATCGATGAGAAAAAAGTGTGAAAAATAAATAAATAAAAAAACCCAAAAAAACAAAAAAACAAAAAACAAAAAACAAAATAAAATCGGCATCATATATGGAGAATAAGACCAGATGCTCCGGAAGACCAAGTCTTGGTCAATGCAATTAAATTTACTGACGTTCTCAAATGAGAACAAGGTTAACAAAGAAACCTCCATGCATACAAAAGTACATCGTTCATAGATCGATTTAACATACCTGCACAGTACAAGTGTAGAGATGGTGTAGGTTGCTTGGAAGCCCCTGACGTCATATTGACTACAACCCTAGATTGTGATGGGTCAGAAAATGTCGAGAAGAAGCTTGTGTTGAGTAGGATCAAGCCACTCAGGTTTATATCGTAATAAGACTGGACTTGCATGGCGTCACTCAATTGAAGAGCAGTCTGGTCAATATTTCCCGTAGAAGCACAGTTGTGAACAATCAGTACCTGTTCAAAATCATCTCTAGATAGTTTATTTACAGTCAGTACACTGTCAAACAGTCCGTTGAAATACCCCTCATCAGTATTGCCCTGATCATATTGTCGAACTATTACGAATATTTCGGGAGATAATGTTTTCAAGTCCTTCCTAACGCTCTCTAAAGCTTCAACATTCCTGGCCATGAGTACGAAAACGGAATTAGCGGGAAACTTGACCGCAAACTGCAGAGCAATGCTCCTCCCAAGTCCTCTGCTTGCACCAGTTATGACTACAAAACTCTTCTTAAGAAAGACGCTCTCGTTCTTCTCCATTTTGTTTTTCAGACGACACCTGTTTTGAAATTAAGAATAAGCAAATAAAACTTCATTAGCAATATATAGGTCAGCAAGCCGACCTTAAATATATTCGTAAGACAGACTACTGCACAACCTTTAAATACAGGTTTGGTCTTTCAATCGTTTAATGTACTTTCAACAGACTTTTCAGTCTTTTTTTCTGTAAAATGTATAATGAAGACAGCTTGTTAGTTGATCTTTCCTTCATTGAGTCTCGTCGAAAAGTGACAGAACAAAACATCACAATGCAATACAGTACAACTAATCACAATAGGATGACAGTATTGTTTTAAATGTACATGCTATATATTGAATTATCAAATATAAAGGAGGAGTGCCAGTTTGGGCCTTCTGGTGGCCATGACGAATACTTTTTATATTTGTCTATTAAAAACTTGAGGTCAGGCGGTAATGACATGACATTAATCTAAGGTCAGCACAAGGCTGTTCAGTTGTTATAGGGGGGGGACGAGTGGGGGATCAAATTCATAATTATTGCAATAATTATCAAACTAAAATATTTTTTTTTCTTTTTTTCTCTTAAATGTCATTTGATGATATATTTCAAAACCTTCATTAGAAAAAATGACCAAAAATATGCCATTGTTGAAAAGTAGGTCACGGTTATTAAGTGCCCTAATTACTAATATACTACTATTATTTGAGAAAATACAAAGTGTAACAATTCAGAATACAGAAATAGAACAATATGCATAAGTAATGTGCTTACCTGTAAAATGTATAATGGAGACAGTTTGTTAGTTGAGCTTTCCTTTATTGAGTCTCGTCGAAAAGTGACGCGAAAACTCAGAATTTATGAAGATCAAGCTGTTCTCCAGACTCAGGCATGCGTACAAGTAAGCGTGGGTAATTACAAAAGGTATCTTAATCAATGACCGGTTGAACCGGCATCTATAGCATTTATTACGTAATGACCATTCACTGCACAAAGGGTGTTGACCAAGGGCTAGGTAAAAGTACTAGAGTAAATCTTTCCTGCCAATACTATGACCATTGACAACTAAAATGGATATTTAGTGTCTAAACAGATATGTATTGAATAATTGTACGTTTGGAATAAGTACAGGTTGTTTTAAATCAATTTTATATTTGACTTTAAGAATATAAGCTATTATAAACAAAATGTTCTTATTCAAATAAAAGAGATAAAACATAGATTTTTTTTTATCAAGAAAGTACCATCAACAGCTATTATCATTAAACGAAGACCTCCCTACATGCGATATGAATGCATGTATTGAATGCATTTGTCGGAGGCTGTCTTTTCTTCGTATATGCCGTCTTGTGATAGTGCAGATCTGAATCCTACTTCTTAGTGTTTTCACAATAACGTTCGCCCCAACAAGACACCCAACCCGGTCACAGTATACTTGAAAAAGGGCAAACAGTCGATTCACTGCCACAATTATGAACGTTAAGTAGAATATAGTGACTTCCACTTTTATAGATCGGGTATGTTTCAGCGAAGGGGACAGGACCCAAAGCATTCCTCACTGTGGGCAAACTCAACTACAAGAACAAAACCGAACCAGTGTCAAGGGAAACATAAGAAAAAAACTGTTTTAAGAGAAACAAAATTTAGTTAAGTCGCCTCTTACGACAATGCAATGGGGGAAAGCATGTACTTCTCAAGCCCTAACTGCCGGTCAACAAACGCATGCTATATATGTGGCCTGAGTACAGTCAACTCACAACACATAAGCAAATAAAGATATTCATGACCCACTTTTTTATTTTAGACAAAAGGCACCCACTCTTTTTAATATTATATACAAGAATTTATCACCTATAGTTCAGTCTCATTACAAGCTTATAAACACCAGTGCTTACGTATCTATGCCCCAGTCAGCTCACAATCTATACATACCCTTTTTCACGGAATACATACTTAGGTGCAGAATCAATTGCACCAATTTTACTCATAGTTTCTATTTTTGAAAGTAACGACAGTTCGAAACACCAATTATCCAGATAAATTATGCTATTTGTAGCCTTTGCCAGGTATGTGTCTGAATCTAGACAGTTGTTACTTGTGATCATCCTACATATTATTGCTATTATATTACAGGTGAAGTAATATCATATAGTGATTGACTCAGTTGCGCGAGTCCTTAAACATACATATTTGTATATCTTACCTTTGCACGCTATGTTAAATGATTGACTTGCGAAAAGCTGTCCTCTACACTATGGTTGTATACTGATGTGGAAGTACTGAGGTTTGAACTTTGATTTTATCAACAGTTGTGATATGCGAGGACATGAACTTGGTCAGGTGACTTATCGTATCGAGTCAAGGTCAATGTAATGCAAAACAATTGTTTCTTTAAAATTTAAGTTAGCTTATCAATAGTTCATATGAGGTTACACAGTTTCAACACATGATATGAAATTATTCAACACTCAACAAGAGACAATAAGCGATTTGAGGTGATTCAAGGAGAGATTTATTCACAATTTAAAGAGAGGGGTGTTATTTAAACCCCTGTTAAGTTTAAGTAAGTTAATCAAAAGTTAAGATGTAGTTACACAATTTTAACCTCAATTCAAATATTGAGCACTATTTCATTATTGATGATATCTTTAGCTTGATCCAAATCAGTAATATCATAATGTAATATTAATCATTTTAAATGGATATTGAAATAATTTCTGTATGTATGTTGCAAGATTCTTCATGGTACTTGAATAAATTACGTAAGTATGCAAATATAATGGTACCGTCTTAAGTTTTAAAGAAGTCGCCATTTTGTTTTAAATGCTACATCATGTACGGAAACATATCCGCGTTTGAAAGAGTCAGTATTTCAAAACTTCTTAATGACTCGGAAATTACTCCCAAAAATGTATCGGCTACTTTTTCCTTAAATATCAAGCTTTTCTTTGAGGCTAATAATTTTTACTGTGAAACCTGTAAATACCAAATCATTTACCCAAATCATTTTGTTTTACATCGACCGCTGTATAATGTGTCACCCGACCCTATGGCCAATATAACGGTACTTTTAAAGATACCAATTTTGAGACACAGCTGCATTTCAAATACGCTAATATGTGAATACTTATCAACGGTTAGTTCGTTAAATAAACATTCATACCATGCTAGTGTTTATGTTAATGACCACAGTCGCTTTATAGGTACTGATTGGGGTACATCTTGACTTAATAAGATAATCTGACCATATTTTGTACAAGTTGTCATTTCAGATACAGTAATATCTTGTTTATAAATGCCTATTAGCGGTTATTTTCTTGAATAAGTATTTATAAATATTGAATAAGTATTTATATCATGATACCATTTTTTTTTGTTAATTACCAAAGCGACTATACAACAACTGATCCGTAAATATATTGACTTATTAACCATACGAGAACATTGTACATGGTTTACTTACGAAATATTTGCTATTCAATTCCAGTGTTCTCTATAAATTTGTTTAAAATGCTACATGATGTACCGGAGCATATCCGCGTTTGAAAGAGTCAGTATTACAAAGCTTCTAATCGAATCGGAAGTTATTCTAGAAATTTATCGAAACTTTTTCCTTAAGTAGCTAGCAACTATCAAATTATATGTAGGTCAGTTGCTTTTTTATGGTACATTAAGGTTTAGACAGAGACTCAGTTATGGCTTGGGGTTCGAAGCTGAGCTAGTTGCTGGTGCCGTAGCAATATTGTGTTAACGGATGTACCCTGAAAACCTAAGAAACTTATCGATTAATTAAATAACAAATACGTACCCGGGTTGTTTATGGGATAACTGCTTATGTACAGTTGAACAAACAGTCGATAAAACAACGCTGCGTAATTGAATAGTTCTCGATTTTACGATGAAATAGTAATTACCGCGACACTAAAACGAAACTAATAAATCTGAATATTATTTCAAACCAATGTCTGCAGATTTGTATTTAGTAGCATTTATATCCATATGCTTGTATTTGTATCTTAACGTTACTTGGATGAATCCTGCTAGCTGTTCTTCACTTCAATTCAATTCAAAAACAAGGATTTTATGCATTATACGTCAATGTATGAAATCTGTGGTTTACGGGTTAGCTTGTAATAATGATATAACAAAACAATGATAAATTTTGATAACTTGTCATCCAAACGAAACAAAATATCGGTAAAAAAAAAAAAATGAAAACAATAAAAAAAAACATACACAACCGTAAACATAATAACGATAACGAATTGGCGTACGTGATATTTTGAAACTAGTTATTCTTGTTTGACTGCAATCTATAAATAATATCACAGGGATTTTTGTCATTTTTTCCAGTGAACACATACCAACAATTTGCAGATACAAAGAAAGAAAAGAAGATATAAATTTCACTATATGATTAACTTGTGGGCTGGACAAAGGTATTATTATGACGCGGTAGTATAAATACAAAGTTGGACAATTCTGACAGAATTAAAATATATCCATGTTTGTCTACGTTATTACAGTCCCCTTAGTTAATTATGTATATAGTCATTATAACAAGATTCAGAAATTGTGTGTGGTTTTTTTCTCGACCAGTTTGACAACTTGGGTAGCGGTTTGTTTACACTGTGGAATACATATCAGATAAAGACGTGGCTGATAAATGAGATAAGATCCTGTATATGCTTAATAAACATCACACACGCAAATTTACGGAAGGTAACAATACATATGTAAATCAATAATACTTCGTGTATTGTCCACACGCATATAGGACAAATTAAATTTGGCGACGTATGGGATGGGTATTTCCTATTTTACAATTTGAAGCACTAATCGACCGGAATGAGTTGGGGTGGGGAGGTTTAGGAAAGCGTTGTCAACATTCTATTTTTACGTTTTGTTGACCTTTTTATAGCGACGTCATTATATCGGTTATCTAAATTATATAGCGACTATAGAAAAGTCAATCTTGCTGTTTATGTCAAATTCTTCAGGGTAAATACGATGGACGTAGCCATTGAATTTCTTGTTATCTAAAGACAAGATATCATTAATATATATGCATTGAGTTTAAACGACTTTAACTGGTCTTTGTATTCTGTTTTGATTAGCTCTTCGATTAATTCAGCCTCGCATTAAAAACATAAGAAGTCAGACAAAATTTCAATAAACTTATTTATAGCAATTATTTTAGCTTTAAATTTATGGAAATCTTTTCAATAGAGATAGAAATAACTGGCCTGTTCTCCGTAAAATAATCTGAAAATCAAGCGTAGAAATGATATCAAGTCTTGAAGTAACGATTATTACAAGCCCGTTCTTATTGGCTGTATCTGCAGACCCAAATGCTAAACTTTTGATGATATATATTGATCTACAAAGGGAAGTAATCATGTAGGGAATATTAAATGGCATGTTAAACTTGCAAATGCTTGTAATTCTAGTCTTTATAAGCTTTGATCAAAGTATGGAAAACTGCTAAATAAGTGCTTATTTTAATTTCCAAATCTTTTCAAGAAGTATGCATAAAAACCCAAATATATTTTCACAATATTGATTTTGATGGAAAAAAACAATTAATTTCTTATTTTACATTCACTAGGTCTGCAAATATTGTTTCAAACTGATAATACCCGATCGTAATGTTTTTCATTTAACTTATATCATAAGGTCCAATCATACATCATAAGGTCCAATCATAAATCATAAGGTCCAATCATACATCATAAGGTCCAATCATAAATCATAAAGTCCAATCATACATCATAAGGTCCAATCTCGGTGTTATGTCATTCTACAATTTACTGACTGTTTGACTGATGTACCTGTATACCTGTTTATTATTGTTTGGAGAAAGCTTTCATTGAATATGTCTTTTTCCTTATTCCATTCGTCGTTAACGTCAGGATAATAAAATATTAATACTGTACAAAATGATAATAAACGACATTAATAAAGTGACAATGATTTCTTTTTATTTCACAATATATACATAGCATTTTGTTCGATTATTTTATGATGTGTTTTCCAGGACGTTTTCACTCAAGGCGACACTTGAATATGTTTCTCCATATGATGAACAGTTCCTTGCTGGGGTACTTTATTACTGATAATTATAATATTACACTTGACAATATGCAGAAGAAAATTGTTTAAATACCAGTAACATTTGCTTAGTATGAAAGTAACCTTAACAGTATGAAAGTAACCTTAACTCGTGAAAAAACCTAAACATAATCATCCAAAATGCGGAGCAAGAGAACTTCCAAATCCCCTGTTTGCCCCTGTTATGGCTACAAGAACTGTTGGATATGTTCTAATTCTTAGGGAGGAAAACGATGCATGTTTTTAATTGCAAAGCGATTGGTAGAAAGTCACGATGACTTGAATAAGTAGAATGATAGTATGTATATAACGTATCCACTTCAACCATTTAAAAACACGAGCAAATCTTTAACACAATCGTCTTTTACAGTCTCTAAAACAAATATAATATTAAATCACGAGTACATCAGTGCATGTGCTTAACACATGTATAACGAACATCGGTTGCTCTTAAAAATCAAGAAAACACCAGGATGGCAACATAATCATAATTCAAACTCAAATTCCATAAAACTAGGGCAAGACATGAACAGGAGACTCCAGAAAAAGTACAAGGAAATAAGAACATGTGTTCCGGTAGAGTAAGCGTCTTTTGTTTCATCGACGGCACCTGCCATGTTCATTGACATATTTCATGAAATACCAGTATTCAGGTGTATGTTGTTTTGGTTTATTTGAATAATTTATGCTAGATCCTTGACGCTGAATGCATTTGTGAGTTGGACTAAAAGCTAAGCAAATGACTGTTTCTTTATAAATATGTACCATCAAAAGCGAATTTGACAGAATGACTATTTAATAGAGATGACAAATTGTCTAATGTAAAATGATTTTAATGTTCTGGCCTAAATTACAGCCAACATCTAATTGAGAATGAATTGTTTTACAACTAGGGCTATATAGAATATGTCTTTATCCCATTTCAATGAGGCGATTGAGGAAAATCAAAGATGTTCTTAAATTTAGATGGGGAGGTGCTCTAGCACATTTATTCAATAAATCTCGCAATTTTCATATATCTGATAATTTAAGAATAAAGTCCATTTCATTGGTATATTCTGAACCGTGCCACTTTTCGAAAATAGATTGTCTCACCGAAAAGTAAATAATTTGTACAATATTACGTAATAATCCGTTACTAGCTACTTAATTCATTGCGGTATAATTCTGTTATATAATCATAAAGAATTTCATGTAAATAAAGTAAGTGTCACATGAACATTTGTGATATTCGTGAGGATACATTCGATTTATTGGATCCAAAACGACTTATGATGCACCCGGCAAGCTATGGACATGATTTATCATATTCCACCAGTACTGATTCATAACAATTATGCCGTAACGCTGTTGATGTCACTGCTCAAATTAATAAATAGCAAACATATTTAAAATAATATCCTTTTAAATTTAAGAAAGGGAAATGTTTTTCATTCATTAAAACTCATCTCATGCTTTTATTATTCTGAACATTTTTATTTGCAAAATGACAGGAGAATCGGGCACAAGTATTGACGACCATACGTACGGCCTCTCCTCAAATATTTTTAAAAATGTCCTAAAAAGTAATATTTTTAGAAGGTGTCTAAAAGACTTGTCAATAGCGAATGTCACTTACACCGGTAAGAAACATTGAATGACTACCCGAAGACAAAATAAATAACAAACGGCAATATTCGACTACAACAGATTTAGTGTTTGTACTGACACTTCGTTTAAATGCAGATAATTTTCTTTGTTCTATTACTAAAATGTTTTGATTTTGTGACAGATAATGATGATCTAGACACATTGGATGAACATAACTCTCACATGTAACTGATATAGTTAGTTGTGCTGTTTGAACATAAATAATGTTTGTTTCGTGAAATTCATATTCCTTTCAATAACAGATAAGCCTGTTTGAATAAATTGCTAACCTATGGATATTAGAACACCTGGTCGTTACGACATCCGATAATAATAATTTTAAACAATTGAATACTTACTGACAAGTAAGAAATTTATTCTCAGTTACGCATGTTTCCTATTTGACGTCATTGAATTTACCTTGTCCTCAGGCAGAAATGAGGCCTTGGGGTGATGCTATTCATCAAATTGAAGACCTTTCTATCCGCAAAAAGTTTTTATATTTTTCCGTATCTTAGCCTTGACAAGACATTTTTTGAAATTAAAGTCATTATGACCCTTTTGAAACCAACGTTGAGGTTCTCGAGAGAGTGCGGAATATATTATTTATTATTTTGAGTTTGTGCAATTGTTATTAAGACAAGACCAGTGTTTCCTGAGATATCTGAAAATGTCAATTGTTTCTGAACGGACGACGGACAAAAGATGCATCTAAAATTGGACGAGAACACATATGAAATTATGTCATATTTGATTTCTTAACACAGTATCATTGAATGAAAATGTATCCTTTGTTAAACAATATGAAATTCCACGGATGCATTAAAGTAACCAGATGACAGAAAACGATAGGAACATATACGATATAATAATAGTTTTTGTTTATTTCCATAACATAAACATGATCAATTCATGTAAATAGGATTAAATGAGATTCAATGGGATGAAGTCATGTGATGTGCTTACAATCTTATTGTCTAAAACGGAAAATTCTTTTTAGCTAGCTGAAGAATTTGAAATCACTGGAAATATATCGTCTCTAATGCGTGCTAGCAGATAGTAAGAAAACCTGTACATGTTGTCACTATGGCAGATTTAAGCTTGGGTGAAATCAGTGATACTTCCAGGCCACTAAAACTATGACGGCGTAAAATAAGTCACTCACTTGTGCTTACGATTGAGATGTCGTCAGGAGAAAGCACTTTATAGACTACTACAATATTGTACAGACTAATGAAAGAAGCTAGACGATCATGGTCAGTGCATGATTCTATTTTTTTGACCCTAGTAAAACGATGCTACATAAACAAACAGCAAACATTGTTTTGTTTTACTTGCCTTGAAAACCAGCATGTTTTTACTAATATTTTACATTTTTAGGGAGAGCAATATCGAATATTCATTTTATGACGAACTATGTAATATGGTAAATCATTTCAAACTTCGCCAATTTGTTTCTTTAAGTTAATTATTATTAGTCATTTTGATGTTAACAATAAATATTCATATTACTGAAGTAAAAAAGACAATGTAATTATTGTTAATATGTGTTGCAGGTGACTTATTGGCAAATCTCATGAAAGGAGTCATTGGGTTTCAGGGATGAGTTGCTTAAAGGGCATCTGCAACAACAATGAAAAAATGGTTGTGATAGAAAATAATGGAAGTTTCGGTTTAAAAATCTACTTTGATAATGCGGTATAACAAAGTAGCATAGAATTAAAAGAGCTTGTCACTCTCTACGTACACAGCATTTTCGAAAGAGTTTTCCTCCAGTATCTGCACTAGTTTGCTGATGGGTGTTTCTGGAAATGTTATCTTACCATTATTCCGAAGTTCTGAAATAAATCATAAACTTAGTATAAAGCAATTTTGGCTTTGTTGCCTTATGCAATAATTCCTCAAACAACCTACTATGAATACGTATAGATCTTTCATGATTACTTATTGTTCATTGGCGAAACAAGAGCTTCATAATGATAACAAGAATATTGAACCTCTACGTAAGTTTAATGTTTAGTCCCTTTGCGTCACTAACGAATTCTGGAAGGACAAGATACATGTATGTTTCAGTACAATTCATCTACTATATTCATTTACAAATTTGTATTGAAAAATGCTATCCACTGCATGTGTACTTCATAAAGCTCTTTATATATAAAGAAAAAGTTAAGATTAAGAAATATCGTGCAATTGATACAAATAGAAATCCAGGTGTACACACAATGTTTAGTGCATATGTTTTCCTCTAATAACATCAGAATACATTATCGAATATCCACGTAAATGTTGACTGAATATATTATATTATGTTACAAATGTTTTATCCAATTGCACAATGCATAGTATACCGAAATCATCAAAGAGACAGATATTTTGAAGAACAAATATGTATTACAAAACAACATCCAAAATATAAAGAACAGAACTTTCTTCATAATAAACTTTGTCACTTTACAATTGGATCACTGTTTTCTTTAGTTTTTCTAATGTTTGTCCATTTCTTAATGCTATATGAATCTGGACGTATTTGATGCTTATTAGTTTTCCTGTTGGTTCCTTTGTTGTATACCTTTTTCTCAATGGAGAACGTGTCATTACTTACTTGGATTGACCAATATTTACATGGGGTGTGTCAGCGATAAAACAAAAAAGGATTACTGTACTAATATATGCTGAAATTAGTGTCACTGTACATGTACATGTTTGTGTGTAAATATATATGAGGTGTAGAGTTGTTTTCATCATCAGTTATATTCTCTTGTTCAATCTTAATACTTTTATCAATCAAATTTTAATTTCAAATTTGTCTAAAAGGTATGTCATACAATTGACTATTAATCTTACATTGTTTTTCACAATTTTTGCCTTTTAATGGTGAAAATTGATAAAGGTTTTGGCTATCGTTTAGTCCAATTGGCTGTGCAATCTTGTCAAAAAGAACCCTTGTCAGTTGCCATTGACGAACTTTCATTGCTCAGGGATCAATCTTCAAACGGTTTCTACTAAATAACCAAACGACTCAAGAGTCTAAATTGGGTTTATTGCATGTTGAAGAATAGGTTTTGAGAAACTTTTTAATGTTCATGACAAGCGAACTATTCAAGCCCATTGTTGAAAACGCTGGTTGGTATGTCTTGGCCAGGAGAAAAGAATGTCTTTCCTATAGTAGCGAACGCTCAACTAAAGGCCAAAACAAAGGCAATGCCAAATTACATTGGTAAGAAAATGGTTGTCTAGAAAGAAAACACCTAAAGTTTAGTTGCATTTTAGGCCAAGCAATGGATGCGGCAGATACAATGCTAAACTCTGCCTGTTCTTCGCTTTTCCGTATATATATATATATAATTTAAAAATAATAAAATCTTTGTGTATCGTATATACAGAGAAAATTAATCACTTAACATGACAAACAAATATATCACTAACGTTTTCAGGCCTCGAGGCCATCTTCAGGTGATTACATTACATGTACACTGTACGTTACTTAGTAACCTATATTGTGACGTAATGTTATTGTTATAATTGTCTGTCAGTCGATGATATCATTTTGTCTCTGTGCCATAGAATGTGCTCAAAACCAAGTTGAAAGAAGGGAAAAGGAATTTTAATGAAGGATGATAAAGATAAAGCCACTTTTGAAGCTCAGTTTTTAATCACCAGGTATTCTCAAGTGATTAGCTTATGCTTGCGATATTTGTATCAGATTACTTACGTTTTAGTGTTTCGATCAAAGGTTTACTCCGACTGTTTGCCTCGATTCCTCGCGTCCCATCTGTATCTGAGGCTCCTGGGGCAAAAGTTAGTATTCTGAGAGACGGGTCCTCAACGGCAAGCACGCGCATAAACATGTCCCGGGAAGCCTTACCTACAGATAGTAAGATATTTTTTTCAGTACCTTATACATTTAACAGACAGTTGACCCAAATGTAAGACGAACACAGGCAATACAAAACTCAAAATTTTGAAATTGAGAAAATTGTAATAATGACGAAAGACATGATCTCTTTTGAGACACTGCATAAAAACCTCATGTAATTATCACATTTCAATACAATTTTAGAATTCTTTCAATACAAATTAGCATTAGGTAGAGCTAAGTAATGATTGAATGCGTCATTCAGCTGTTTCGTCCTTTTTTTCAATGCTATTCACTTGTGTGTCTTCTAGGACTCGTCAGTGATACTATGGACCTAAATTCTGACAGTCAAGAAGCGATTGAAAAATAATCACCGAAAGAAATGATGAATCAAGAAAGGAAAGTGTTCTACTTTCATAATTCAGGGAATATATTTTATGATAGTCATATATCTGATAGGTTCAGAAGTAGTTCAAGTATATGTGATACACGTAACCATGCCACGACTTGAATAAATTAAAATGTGGCATATAGTTTAGGGATATACGACCATCCGTGTCTACCACATGGTTGAAAATTGTTTTATTTCTCTGTACGATCCATCAAAATAGTAATTCAAAGGGTGAACTTTAATGGAAGGAGACATGGATGTTCTACTTTAACTCCAAAGATACATAGCAAGGTTATGATATTTTTTGCATGAAAAAACCCCATTCCGGTTACCTTGATAAGAGTCACGACCCGACGTGAAAAAATGATGTCACTTGCCCGATCTTGTCTCAAACATGTGCTCGCATTTTCCCAGTTACTGTAGTATATAGAAAGATAAAATATAATCAAAACAGTTAAAGCGAATATTCATACATACCTGCACAATACAGATGCATAGTCGGCAAGGGCGTCGATGTAACTGCTGACGTCATATTGACTACAACACGAGCTTTAGTAGAATCGGAGAAGGTACGGAAGAAGCTTGTGTTTAGTAAAATCATTCCTGTCAGATTGACATCAAAGTACTTTTGGACAAATTTGGCGTCGGATAGTTCTAAGGAATGCTTTGAAACATCTCCGATATTGGCGCAATTATGGACGATCATAAATTGTTCAAAGTCCGATGGAGAAATGTTGTTGGTCGATAAAAGGTCAGTGAATATATCATTGAAATAATCAGCGTCTTCGGTATTGCCTTGGTCGTATTGACGGACCACAATTTTGACATTAAGAGACTGAGATATCATTTCCGACTTGACACTTTCTAAAGCTTCCAAATTTCTTGCCATGAGAACCAAACCCGAATCAGGAGGAAACTTGGCTCCAAATTGCAGTGCTATACATCTCCCAAGTCCTCTACTGGCACCAGTGATCGCTACAAAACTCTTCTGCGTTTCTACAGAGCTCCTTTTATATTAGGCAATATATTGTGCAACCTACAGTGGTATACTTGTAACCACTCTACAATCACCGTATTTGATAGTATGGAGGAGTCAACACGTCGAACGTCTTTGCATCTTTTCTTACGTTCAGTGCTTAATATGTTCTTGTTTACACCTGTACTTTTTTTGGGACAGCTTTTGTGATGATAATGTGCGTGACCGTGCAATTTTGGGTGCACCATAGATCTAGGGAATAATTTGACACTACTGTCGACAATGTACATTTTCTGGTTGAATAACCATGTCACAGTGTCACAATGGAAAATATTCTAAATGGCGCTCCTATAGAAAATGTAATTTGACAGCTTTGACCTAGATCGTGGTAACCTTCATATTTCAGACGATACATATTGCATTCGTCTAATTTAACATCGAGACAACTAAACCTGTTGCTGAAATATTTTAGCACGGTATCTGTTTTTGCTCTCCTGGTTTGGCATACCGCGCCGTCCAGCGTCAGTCGTCGCCAACTTTCTCTTCAAATCCAAAGAGAGCTGGCACGGGTTCTCAATTGGAAATTGAATATGTTTTACCTACGTAAACACAATATCTGAAAGCATTTGTTAGATATTATTATTGTCTTTGTGACAAGTTTATCAATATTTGTGTTTATAACTTTGTAGTTTCTTTCTAGGCCTATACGCATGCGCACCATCAGGTTTGCGAGCGGTAATGTATGCATTAGATCAGGATGTTTACATTCTTTATTTTTTAGATATCAATAAAAAAGGTTGCAGTGACTTTTAATCTTAGTAATTAATAGAAAGTCTTAGTTTTGTAACATACTATAGGAAAATGGAACGTTTTATATCTTTTTCTCGTAGTGTTTTTAACATTATAGTCGTTTTAAGGACATTGTCAATAGATTTCTTGTTATTTAAAGGTAAGATTTCATCAATGTATCTGAAGGTGAAATTAATCAACTTTTGATAAACTCTTCATTAAATTAGCTTAGCTTGAAAAGTCAGCCAACAAGAGCACATTTACTTCCCATAGGTTTGACAGTAGTTTGTTTGAAAATCTTGAATATAACCTTAATGAACTAACAACAACGACTTCATAATACATTTGAGTAATCACTAAAATTTTGAAAATCACATAATTGATCACGTGAAAAAATTCATCACCACAATGTATGTATTTCATTTTATCGACATATACTTATTCATATACTTATAACAATATCATTTTATACGAGTGCAGTGGGGTATCTGTATCAATTTAATACCTATTTAATTGGAAATGTTCAATGCTGATCTGGACTGCAAAAATATTGTTGAAGGAAAGTTTGAAATAACGAATTCTACATTATTATGGAACATGATTGAAATATATAGGATTATCAGTGTATATATACGACAACATATTTCAACACAACATGACACAGCTCTCGAGATAACCGGTCCAATGAATAGACCTTGTTAGATTAAACATATTTAAATGACATATGATAAGGTAAAAGGATTAGTCAGAGAGAGAGAGAGAGAGAGAGAGAGAGAGAGAGAGAGAGAGAGAGAGAGAGAGAGAGAGAGAGAGAGAGAGAGAGAGAGAGAGAGAGAGAGAGAGAGAGTCACAATTAATCAAATCCCTATTTTACTTTTTTTGCAATTAAGAAATATCATCATCTTTACTTAATTTCTGATCGCCATATATGAGTAAATCTAATTAAATTCTCAAAGAGAGGTTGTAACTGTCATATAGATTTCGATTATAAAAGTATAGGGGACAAACATAAAAATAGTAACAATGTCGTAAAGGTTTCTATATCATGTAATTTCCCTTTTCGATTGAAAAAAAAGATGTCAACTGAAGTTTCGATACAAGCACCTTTGGAGTCGAGAGCGGAGAGCTTACCACTGTGCTATCGTTGCGTTACATATGACAGAGTGAAAATTTAGGAATCTTATTAAGTATGTAGTTTACTCCATCTATTGATCATATTTTGTGTTTGTGTTTGTGTGGAATGCAAAACAAGTGTCAAGAAAAACAAAGATGACAATGATGTGGTCAGTACATTAATGACTGATTATGCTAAAATGCCAAAAATTCAAATATCTCCAAATCAACAAGCACTGCACCCCTACCCTTACACTAAAAATCACCAAAATAATATACATTACATAAGTCTGATCTTTTATTGAGGAAACAAAGTATCTATTCGCTAGTTTTTTTTTCTGTAAGTGTACGTTAAATGTCGTACGACAGATAACCTGTTTTACACTGTAAGATGACGCCAGCAGTATGTGTTTCACATTATCTATGAGTAATATATAATACAAAAGCTCATATTGGAATCAAACAATGATTACTGGTTAGTCATATATCATTCAATGAAAAAAAAACACGTTCATTGTAACATTTTACTACGTTGCGATGATAAAACCTTGGAAAAAAGTGAAAAGGTAATAGGTAAGTCCGCTTTCCTCGATATTCCAATCACCAACAAATTAAAATCGAATTCATCTAGTCCGTGTTGATTGCTTACATAATAAGTATATCCTGATCAAGCGTAAATCGAAAATATCGGGAAAATTCAATTTGCATATTTAAATAACTCATTTAAATATGTTGTCAAATTTGGAGATAGTGACGTTTAAAATTCTCCGTTTTAAAAAGAAAAAACACGCCCACCATCCTCCGTTTGGTGCATGTCTTATATTGGTGTCATGACGTCGTCTATGTCGTTTTAGAGTCATTTGCATACATGGTGCTGTTTCACTTAAAATTCAATGCAACGAATAAAATCAAACTGTTAGGAGGTATTCATGTTTAAAATAACCAACTATATAGCAATATTTTCTAAAAAAAAAACTGAGATATGGTGAGATTTTGAAGCTATTATTCTCTGGTGTTGCGGATCTCACATACGTTCTATATACGTTACCTATCCCGTGATACCTAATGATAGCATGTAAAAACAATGACATAAAATCAGTTAAACGGAGGTGAAGATCGAAATTCATTTCCACAATTTACAAAATGCAAAGCTCGACATTAGTTCACTGTCTGCTTTCATTGGTATTCTGAAATGAGTGCATGTGAAATGAAAGATTTGAAACACCGCGATTAAGATTTGTCCTGTTGTATATGTACAGAATACAAGAGCGTATTAAACACGTCTTCAAAAAGAAGCCAAGTGTGATTTTCCTGTCAAGCATGGGTTGTCACATGAACAAAGCTCCCTAAAAGAGTGCTCCGCTTGTGCCCATCCTAATCGCTTCTATAAATGCGGTACGGTATACTGAGGTTTTGTACACCGTTCCGTTTTCTTGTGAATACACGTTAACCGTGTCTTTATTTCATGGTATTTATGAATGAATTTCCGTTATTGTCTATGCAGAAAGTTTATCTATTTGAAGATGTATGATTACAAAAGGTTCTGTCTATAATTCGTTTATTTAACTTTTTATCAATTGTTGTAAATTGCATGCCGTCGATATAATGTATGATCTAGGGCCCCTTAGTATGAATGTCAAGGTTATTTAATTAGCTTTAAAAAGGTAGTAATCAATAGATCTGGAACGGTTTCTCAATTGAAAATTCAGTATGTTTAATTTCCGTAAACCGCATACCTGAGAGCATTTGATATATATTCTTTCTGTCTTAGTGATAATTGATGAAATTGAATCGAAAGTAATCAAAATTTGTGTCATTCCATATCTTTGTAGTTGACGGGAAAAAGGAATTTCGCATGCGAAGGAGACACAGTGAAGTTTTATAGAGTTAAGTCCATAGAAGAATTCAAAGCTCTACGTTGGCGGTAACGTCCTGCTATCGGAAGATATAAATGATCTCTAAAATATACTAGATGTTTTATATTCATGTTCTGCACGATGGAATATAGATATTGAATCGTCGTATTAGGAACATTAAGAGTATTTTCCCAATCAAACAATGGATTGATGAATATGGTATTTCCATTGAATTGACAGATAAAGTTTGTAACCTTTGTTTAATTTTTAACTAAAATGGTAAATTCATAATTGCTTTCAATACCTTTAGTTGTTCCAGACAAAAGAGCTGATTTCCTTCTAAACAGGTAAATATAGAAAATAAACTATGAATTGTCGTTACTTGATACATACATTGTATGTTTACTTAAATTATGTGTAGGAAGTTTGAGGATTTAGTCATGCACCTTATTAAAGAAGGTGAAATTATTGTTCTTAGAAATATGCTTGACGTAAAATAAACAGTGAATACCTACATGGTCTTCTTCTGAGTTGGGTCGATATCCTTTACAAATTAGTCGTAAGATTGCGGTTCTAGATTATTGGCTGGAGTTACTTAAAAATGTTATAATGACCTTGTGGAGATTAATATAATCAAACCTTGCTGTAAGATGAGTTCTATGTTACATGTTAACCAAGAACTAGTAACACACCAAGCAACGGAGGATTAATGAAACAACGACATTATTTCCCGCCTTATGACAATTTTATTGGTTTTGTTTCGATAACAGCAATGTTTTCACAATAATAGACATCTATGCGATGAACTCACAATATTTTTTCTCCTGATACATGCTATTTACATACACACTATTCAATATAGGCATTATCATAATATATGATGTAAGGGAAGCAACTCCCAAACATCAATTGTTTCAATACTTTTAACAATTTATTCATTTTTTTTTTTAAAAGTTAACACAAATACTATATCAGATTAAGTTTGGTTCACTACATTTCAATCAGAATTATTAGTCGTTGTTTTGAATAATTATTTTAATTGTAAGAAAAGCCAATTTCCTAAACATTTCACAGCAAAATAGGAAAAACGTAATCTTATGAAAGTTTGTACAATAAAATTATTTCTTTAGGAAGACACTCTCTCCTTTCTCCATTTTGTTTATCATAATGATTGTATTTTAACGGACGTCCTCTACCACTACATTTACAGTTACTGCCTTATTTCAACTAATCTGTGAATATAAGTACAGGGTAGCTACAACTATGTCATGAGGGTAAAGATTGGGTTGATACGCAGTCATCCAGCTTGCAAGCTTTCAATTCCAAAAAGTCAAATTTTAAAACTTTGTATTCGGTTGAAATTGATAAACTTATTAAAAATTATGAATCGTAGGAATATTTAAATGAATCCAACTTACCATCTTACCATGTTGTTATTTACAAACACTTTGGCAGGCGTTCGCCATACATTACTTTGAAAAAAAGTACAATAAAAGGTTCTTGATACAGCAGATCTTTCACATTAAGAGAGCTCTGACTTGTGATCATGTACAATTGCACCAATTGTTTTTCGTTGACAGACTGGGTATCCGTGTATTATAGTAGGGTATGAATTGATCAGACTGCCTACGTCAGCATTGCGGTTCGTGTAAATGTGAACCGACAAAATGGTGACGTGGAATGTGACTAAGGTTGGTAACATCCACTAGTGTGAACTGCAATCAGCTTATGGATTTATTTGGACTTTGTGTACACATAATTATACTAAACTGTTTCAAGGTCAAACCAAGAGATAAAGTCAATAACAACAATACTAAGATACCATCAGTTCTATAATTGTACCAACCATCCTAAAATAGATAAGTTTTCTGTGTTAAAAAGAAATTGAAAATTCCATTGACTATTTTTGACTATGTGTTTCGTTAATTCATAATAGGTTTTGGGTTTACAATACAACAGGGCATTGAAATAAACGATAGACGTCTACGAAAATTGATATCTTTCTTAACACATGACCGATCCCATCACATAATCACCCGATATCAACTCCTCGCTAAATGGGAAAGTCATGTAGTATACTCTTCAGTTACCAGGTCAGAAGAGATAAGATAAGTTTAAGTTGAAATCGGGATTCATGTTTGTTGACCTCATCATCTAAGGTTTTAAGGTCATATCACAGGATATGAGTAAACCATTAATGCCCGTTAGTTTGCCAGTTGGTTCTGTTGTTGTATACGTGGTTATCATTTGAGAACATGACATTACGTACTTGGACTGACCAAGATTTACATGTCGGGTTTCCTCGATGAAGCAGGAAGCTTACTCAATCTTATTAGAAATACAGATCTTAATGTACCAATCCGATACTTTTCGTTCAAGTATCGGAGTGCTATATTAAGATCTGTATTTTAACATAATTCAGATTTAGGTTGAAGAGACCGACCCTGAAAGGTTAAACCAAGTGCCATGAACAATCGTTACCCTCACTTTCGCTAATTAAACAAGTGATCCCAGAGGGACTTTGGCACCCATTATTGTGTGATCTTTATTTTTTCTTTATACGTTTGATCTTTCCTTTCATAGTATACATTTATCTAATTCAAATCTTCAACACTGCTCAGTTTTTGATAACAGATTTCAGACTGACCACGGATGTGAATTGTACTGTGGGTTTGTGGTAATTATCACACAATCAATTGTATTGATGTCCCGCAACAAAATGTCGGAAAATTAATTTCTGATTCATAACTGATTTTCTCAGAACAAAATAAGCTGGTTGTTTTTAGCGAATATCGTCTGCTGTCTCCTTTGCATTTGTACATTAGAGACAAACATATTCGGGCATTTTCTCCCCATATATCTGCCTTGCTTGGCAGACAATTCTTATGCCTTTGGTTGACACAAACTAGAGTAGCTACATTGTAATTCCTCTTGCTTTGCGCTGGGAATCGTTTGAGGGTTTTGTTTGCCCGTTTTCAGTATGGCACCACAAGACAGAGTGTCCTGTTAACAATCTGTGTCACTAAAACTTCAACATGGTAATAACTAGTGGCAACAATTCCCACTTTTCAAAGAAAGTTTACACAAATATACCGCAGCTTTCCAAAAAACCCGTCCTTAAACTAATGACATAAAATATTTGATATACAACACAGACCAAAGTCTTTAAAGAAATATTTATATGTTGGATGGACTATGTGAGAAACCTGCAGAAGGTAAAGTCTCTTATAAGTACTTTGCGTTAATCTGAATATATATAAATAGACATTGTGTCCAAACAGGATAACCTCTGAAGTGAACGTTTGTTGAATATATAAAATTATTCAAACGTATAAAAACTCACTTTAATAAACATAGCATATAGGTTCTGTACCGGTCTGAAAATGTAAATGTGTAAAAAGATTTTTTAAAAATCCAGCTCTGAAATGTAAATATGCAAATTATGAAATAAAAATATGATTCTCTACCTGAAACATGAACAGCGCTGATATATGATTATACAAATTATAAAACATAAAAATAAAGGTTATGTATCTGTCTGATGAACAGCTCTGATATGTAAATATACAAATTATGGGATATAAAAAAAAATGTGGGTTCTATACCTGTCACTATGTATATTGATTATTTTCCCCCGAAAAAGAGATACAATATACTGTATAACTTATCAGTTAATTAGATATTTTATTACGTGTACTGTGTGTAGTCATCCATTTGGAAATCCATAGTATTGATTTGAATGTGTATACATGTGAATATGAAATTCATAAGAGTTTCTCAGTGCGTTTAAGAATGACACAAAGTTTAAGGACACGCTGTGATATATATCGACTCAGGTTTTACCCCACAATTAGCTCGGATAGTATAAATCCTATAGACTACAGACCTAATCAATAGTTTTTTGTATATCTTTGTGTATATATGGACAACTATGTGTATGGGTATAATTATTGGGTACCGGTATCTCGGCACTAAGTCCATTGTCGGCCTTTCTATATTGATAACAGTCACAACACAGCAGTAGACTGAAATTTAAAAAAAATATCTCCCAACAGTCTACAACACAGCAGTCCGTTTTTTTTAGACTGTTTTGGTATTGCAACATTGTCTACAACACAGCAGTAAGACTTTATTATTGAACAGAATATTACTCCCATTAACAGTCTACAACACAGCAGTATCTAAAGTATTAACAGTCTACAACACAGCAGTAACGAGTATGACGATCTATCCCATTAACAGTCTACAACACAGCAGTAGACGAGTATGACAATCTACTCTCATTAACAGTCTACAACACAGCAGTAGACGAGACTTAGTATGACGATCGACTCCCAATAACAGTCTACAACACAGCAGTAGACGAGTATGACGATCTACTCCCATTAACAGTCTACAACACAGCAGTAGACGGCTACTGAAACAGTTCTATGTGTACGATTACTCCCATTAACAGTCTACAACACAGCAGTAGACGGCAGACAGGTTGACGATCTACTCCCATTAACAGTCTACAACACAGCAGTAGACGAGTATGACGATCTACTCCCATTAACAGTCTACAACACAGCAGTAGACGAGTATACTCCCATTAACAGTCTACAACACAGCACTACTCCCATTAACAGTCTACAACACAGCAGTAGACGAGTATGACGATCTACTCCCATTAACAGTCTACAACACAGCAAGACAGTAACGAACAACAGTCTAGTAGACGAGTATGACGATCTACTCCCATTAACAGTCTACAACACAGCAGTAGACGAGACTTAGTATGACGATCTACTCCCATTAACAGTCTACAACACAGCAGTAGACGAGTATGACGATCTACTCCCGTTAACAGTCTACAACACAGCTGTAGACGAGTATGACGATCTACTCCCATTAACAGTCTACAACACAGCAGTAGACGAGACTTAGTATGACGATCTACTCCCATTAACAGTCTACAACACAGCAGTAGACGAGTATGACGATCTACTCCCATTAACAGTCTACAACACAGCAGTAGACGAGTATGACGATCTACTCCCATTAACAGTCTACAACACAGCAGTAGACGAGTATGACAATCTACTCCCATTAACAGTCTACAACACAGCAGTAGACGAGTATGACGATCTACTCCCATTAACAGTCTACAACACAGCAGTAGACGAGTATGACGATCTACTCCCATTAACAGTCTACAACACAGCAGTAGACGAGTATGACGATCTACTCCCATTAACAGTCTACAACACAGCAGTAGACGAGTATGACGATCTACTCCCATTAACAGTCTACAACACAGCAGTAGACGTCTACAACACAGCAGTATGACGATCTACTCCCATTAACAGTCTACAACACAGCAGTAGACGAGTATGACGATCTACTCCCATTAACAGTCTACAACACAGCAGTAGACGAGTATGACGATCTACTCCCATTAACAGTCTACAACACAGCAGTAGACGAGTATGACGATCTACTCCCATTAACAGTCTACAACACAGCAGTAGACGTGATTAAGTACAACACAGCAGTAGACGAGTATGACGATCTACTCCCATTAACAGTCTACAACACAGCTGTAGACGAGTATGACGATCTACTCCCATTAACAGTCTACAACACAGCAGTAGACGAGTATGACAATCTACTCCCATTAACAGTCTACAACACAGCAGTAGACGAGACTTAGTATGACGATCGACTCCCAATAACAGTCTACAACACAGCAGTAGACGAGACTTAGTATGACGATCTACTCCCATTAACAGTCTACAACACAGCAGTAGACGAGTATGACGATCTACACCCATTAACAGTCTACAACACAGCAGTAGACGAGTATGACGATCTACTCCCATTAACAGTCTACAACACAGCAGTAGACGAGTCTACAACACAGCAGTAGACGATCTACTCCCATTAACAGTCTACAACACAGCAGTAGACGAGTATGACGATCTACTCCCATTAACAGTCTACAACACAGCAGTAGACGAGTATGACTATCTACTCCCATTAACAGTCTACAACACAGCAGTAGACGAGTATGACGATCTACTCCCATTAACAGTCTACAACACAGCAGTAGACGAGATCTAACAGTCTACAACACAGCAGTAGACGATCTACTCCCATTAACAGTCTACAACACAGCAGTAGAGCTACTCCCATTAACAGTCTACAACACAGCAGTAGAGACTAGTATGACGATCTACTCCCATTAACAGTCTACAACACAGCAGTAGACGAGTATGACGATCTACTCCCATTAACAGTCTACAACACAGCAGTAGACGAGACGATCTACTCCCATTAACAGTCTACAACACAGCAGTAGACGAGTATGACGATCTACTCCCATTAACAGTCTACAACACAGCAGTAGACGAGACTTAGTATGACGATCTACTCCCATTAACAGTCTAC